CACTATAACATGTAGATGAATATGCATAAGTAGGTGTCTTAGTTCAGGCTGTTATAACAAAGTACCATAGACTAGCTGGCTTACAGACATATTTCTCACAGTTCTGGGAGCTCGGGAGTCCTAGGTGAGAGTCCCTCTTTCCTGTTATAGACTGCTGTCTTCTTGTATCTTCACATGGCAAAAGACGGACAAGAGGACAATACCTAGATGAATTTGTGATGAGGAGTCAGCCACAGGATAAATTCAGCCAGCCAACATTTATTAAACACTCACTGAACTCCAGGGTTTCCAGACGGTGTCATAACTAAGTTTCACAACTGATCTGTATTCAGTAGGTGTGAAAACTAAAACTGCCTGGTTATTAAGCTGTGTGGCCAGACCATAAACCCATCCTCTTCCGTCAGGTTCAGCCCTTAAGCACACATGCCACAGAGTCAAAAACAACCTGGGTTTGAGTCTTGCCTCAGCTATTTACTCATGGTGTGCTGTATGGAAAATTACTAGACCTCTGTGTGTCTCAGAATCTTCCCCTACCTCATGGAGTGGCTACGAGGATTAAGAAATCAACCACAAGCAGTACTTGCTTAGAACAGTGCTCTCTGCTCAATGCTTGTGGCTAGCTTTGATCACAATTCTGCAGACACTTCAGGTTCCAGAAAGATCTTTAGAAGTTCCACAAATGTTTGATTTAAATGCTGTTAAAAATATTTTTTACTACTTAAAATACCTTAATAAAAAGAAACATATATTCATGCAATGTATACCAAATTTAACATATATTCTCACTTTATATGTTAATTTGTGTTGCCAGTTAACTTTTTGTACATAGACAAAACAAAACTTTTCTAGCTCTTTCTGTTCATTTAAAAAAATTGCAGAGAATTCAAGGTAAGCAGATAAAAAATAATTCTTACCATTGGTAACCACTCAGCTGTGTGAATCAGAATTATCTTGACACCGCAACTGAAGTAAAAACAATCTAAAACTGGAGGCTAAAGTGGACATAAGATTCTCATCTCTAATATTGTGTTAATCAGAAAATCATTATTATTCCCATTGACTGACTTTACAATAAGTAAATGTTAAAAAAATTTTTTAAAGCCTTTATATGAAAATGACTCACTTTCTTCTGTTTTATATATTTAAAGTTTCATGTAAATTTTCATTTGGAGCTAAGAAAGACATTTTTTGGCAAAAACATTTAACTAGCGCTTAACTTGACAAGATCTGCCTCTTTGGACTGGGGCTTTTTTTTTTTTTTTATATCAAGGCTTGATTCTTATGTACCTTGTTTGAAAATTAGACTCTGATCATTAGGTCAAGACAAAGAGTTACCCAAGCAGAGTTTTTCATTCTCCTCTACTCTCCCACCAACATCATGATGCTCTCACGGCCTTAATAGATATTTTCCCCTTTTATCTTCATAATAATCGTTTGAGTTTGCCAGGCAGTTGGCATTAGTCTCATAAATGAAGAAGGTGAATGAGACTCAAAGAATATAAATGTTTCTCAATTTCATACAACTAAGCAAGTGGTAGGATCAAGACTCAAATCAGAAGACTTCTGACTACTGATCCAGAGCTTTTCTCCACCTGTTTTGATGTCAAAGATGGCTGGGATTTTGGGGTTGGGCTTTGGGAGTTCAGAGGTGACCCTTCAGCCACTGCTGAAGCTGACGGAGATGCAGCCTCACAAAATATATCTTATCCCTTGTCTGCTTTTCTATATGTTGACTAGGCTTCCTAGTGATTAACAAAAGCAATGTAGAAACTTGAGAAATGTTTTAATATATTGTTTGGACTCTGTCTCACTTTCTGCAAGAGTCATCTGACATGATGCCTTGCTACAAAATCCACACCTAGGTCTCAAACTCAGTGCTGGTTGATCTCCTAGGGTCTATGCCCCGTGACAGCAGGGACAGTACTAGATATGTGTGTGTATAGCACGTAGAGGCATCTAATTCTTACCTGTTAACAAATGTATGATGAAGTCAACTATCATTCTCTATCTGTTGGGGTTTTTTTGGATATTTTTTCCTTTTGCTACCATTGTTTTTGGACCATTATGGTAAGCATATCACAAAGTTCCTTGGTAACTCTTGACATTTTGGTACTGCCTTCCTCAGATTTTTTCTGCATATTGTCATCAGTGTAATCTCAAAGCATCCAGTAATGTTTCTCCAGCACCTCTCAGAACAAGGCCCAGATTATCCTCCTAGGATTCAAGTTTCTTCATGAAATAGGCATGCCTTATGAATAGACCTCTGCTCTTGTCTCATTGCCATCGCTGCAGTCCCCTCTCTACATAGCGCATGCTCATTGCTGCTTTGCGTCTCTGCCATTGCTTGTCTGTTTGCCAGGTTTCATTTCTCTACACAGATCCAAATTGTACCCATGATTTCCTGCCTAATTCAACTCTAATTTTCTATGATCCCTGCCCCAGTAATTCTAGCCCATAAGAATTTTTATAGCACAAATTTTGTACTTAATGACACTTGTATTATTCCATGGATTAGTTAGTCCAATTTCTGAGGCCGTAGGCAACCATGTAAGATATTTAAATTGTACCCACACTGTCTTACCTTCCCACACTGTAGACACCCACTAAATTGAAGGAAATGTATAATAAAGTAATTTATAGATTTAACTAATTGAAATCATCCCAAGGCACAGAGAGAACAAACCAACAAACATATTCCCGAGACATGTCTAATTCATGTGCCATAGTTATCTTGAGATAATTTTCCACTGTACTTTTAATAAAAGAGACACCTACATTATAATTTTATAGTTTGCTTTTGTTTTTCCTCTTTGAGCATTGTCATGGTTATTAATATTTATTAAATGAAATCTGTACTGAAGCATATATAACCACCCAAGAATGAATTTATAGTAAATATTTAACTGTCTGCCTGCCTTCGAACTGGTTAATCAGAATGAGTGATGCATTAGCTGGTCAACTCCTTTCACCTGGAAAGATCGCTATCGATTTCCTTTATTGTGATCTAAAAGATTTAAGGAAAGTCTAAAAGCATTTCAAAAGATTTCAATAAGTAGGATGTAATTCTGCTTTTCATAACCACTGAATGAAAAAAAAACTAAATACAAAAAAAAGATTCTTTGAGTAAACTTCTGTCATTCTCCACTTGTTATTGTATTAAAAAATCAACTATAATATGAGTGAAAGAAAAATTCTGCCTTTATGTATGAAATGAGAAGAAGAGAGGTGCTGTAGGTCATTATAACAGGGGATGTTTTGTACCTGTTCTGGAAGATGAATATGCATTTTGTCTTGGAGCCAGTCCATAAGTCAAATTCCTTTAAAACAGGCAGAGGCCAGCCTGGTTCTGGCTGCAGCCTGCACAGCCAGAAAAACAGAGGAAGAAGGGCCTACAACCAGCATAAAGTGTTTTCCACTTTGATATGTAAACATTCTTCCTTCACCTGAACTTGATGTCAGGGTAACTAAAAAACAAGAACCTTGTGGATGAAGCAGAAACAATCTGTTGTATTCTTCTGTTTTTCAAAACCAGAGATAATCAAGGACTGTTATTTCAGATCCTGGCTGACCTAACTTTTAAGTTAGGAATCTAAGATAACTGGATAGTTAGGAATCTGCCTAGGAATCTGAGATAACTGGATAGTGTGTGCATATTTTTAAAAAATCGACATGCCTCTTCAAAATCAGACTTAGCTGATTTTTTTGTTGTTGTTCTCTTTATAGTCTTTTTTTTCCTTTTTTCTCTGTATTCCAGGCTCCTCTGTTGTGTGGGATTTAATCTATTGGGTGGGAGTAAATGATGTAAACTGTACTCATATTTGCAAAAAGCCCAAAAAAGATGTTAAGGCTGTTAACAACATAGAATTCTACCCTACAGTTGAACTGGAATAGGTGACTTGAGACAGAAATCCATGAAAATTTTATGAAGTTTTCCTTAAACGTCTAATTGAAAATTGCTAGTTTGTGTTACTGTTGATTCATTTCATTTAAGTCTTGGCCCTGTAGATTCTATTGATACCCCATTCTTGGGGATGAAAAACAATGTTAAACACACACATTTTTTAGGAAAACAGGCTGGGTGGGAGACAAAAGACTTTGTTACACACCCTAGTGCATTCTTGTGCAATGCAATGGTCAGCATTTCTGTATCTAAACATCAAGAAAGTACAATAAAAATATACTATTACAATCTGGGACCACTATCATACATGCAGTCTTTCTTAACCAAAACACCCTTATGCCGCGTATGGTTGTGCTGGAAAGGGGGAGCACTCGTCCTCTCCAGGCACATGCAGTGTGCCTCAGTACTCATGACTCCTGCCGTGTTCCCAGAACTGAGCTCATTTGTTATTGAAGTTGCTTTTCTTATACCCAGCCCACTTTCTCATTGAAGTTCCTGCTTATTCTATGCGGGCATTTTCATTTATCACACGATATCCCTAGTCTGAGATTTCATTTGAGGCAAAAAAAAAAAAAAAAAAAAAAAAAAAAACCTCTGCTGCTAAAAGTAATTTGAAAACTCCTAGACAAGAGGACCTTTCAAATCCCTTACAATTCTAACAACCAGTGAATTCATGCTTCACAGCCATTCAGATCTATACGTATGAAATACAAGATGTGTGTGTTCGACTTTCCTGCATTGCCTCCTTTAAACTTTCTTTCTTTTTTGAGTCAATCCCTGCAGGAACAGACCAAGTGAGCCCATTAAGAGAACAGTTCATTCCCACCTGCCACCTCGAGCCAGCCAACAATCTCAGCCTCACCATTCCATTCTTGATTATGTAGAACCATTCCAATCCTGAGTGACAGGATTTGCAAAGACAGCTGTTGGGCTCTACAAACATTTGGAGGAGGGGAAAATGTGAGGTTGGTTGCTACATTCTCCTACTTCTTTTTACTGAAAGGAACAGCTGCGATCTTCACATGTAAGACGAAGTAAACAAAAGCTGACAATGTGCAGCACCATTCAACAGTAAGCATTCAAATGGATTTTTCCTCACCGTGTTTGCAGGCCCCGCACAGTTTCAGTTCCCCACAGCACAGAGAGGAAACGAGGTCTTTGCATGCCCCGTTCCCTTGGCCAAACACTGCCCTAGATGTGCAATTCAACCTGGATAAAGCAAGCGTTATTCAAGAGCCCTGACTCACTATTTCGTGATTACTTATTACCCGCACACGGCATTGTCAGGTTCCAGCAACCCTGTGTGTACCACGCAGAAATGCAGTGTTTATCTCTGAGAGGCAAGCATTCTTAAACTCACTGCATGAGCAGCCATGCTGAACTGACTATCGGGGAAGTAGGTCCCTGCATGGGAGAGTCAAGGTATGTTTGGAGAGACTCGATGATTCAACCCCGTGGCTGGCTTATTTCTTTTGTTCCTCTGCTTTTTTATTTGCTTACACAGAAAACAGAGTATCATTCATTTCTTTTCCCACCCTCATCCTTCTTAACCGCTAGGGCCATCTGCCCATCTGAAACTGTCTTTGGCTCCACGGTTGTGAATTCAGGTGACAGTCAAAATGAAGAAGTGGTGATTGTCCCTGCATGTTTTCTCTGAAGGGTTAAAAAAAAAAAAAAAAGGCTTTGTGTCTGTTTCGAGTTCTCCAGTTGAAATACTGTACTCATTGAACTGCAAGAAATAAAACCTGCAAGTAGGCACTGTGCTAATGTAATAGAAGTGTGTTAGGCAGGGGCACTGTTTCTTAAATATGCTTGAATTAAGCAAGTTCTTTTAAAAAGTGAGTAGGACTTTTGATGTTTTACAATTATATTTTTAATTTCTTGGGCTCAGTTTAAAACTCAAGATTCTGCGTTTCTGTGTGTGTCATTTAGGGCAGCTTGGATGACAAGTAAATGCATTGAAAAATGAAATCAAAGAATTCTTTGTGCCCTGACCTTCATGAATTCGGTGACTTAATATATCCATACATATCTGATTTTTTTAATCAAAGGTGCTCACAGGTGGGGTAAGGGATAAAGAAGGAATTTGTCTTTAGGATTCTTTTATCCTAAGATGCCTTACAACATCCAATTGTGTGTGTGTGTGTGTGTGTGTGTGTGTGTGTGTGTGTGTGTGTGTGTTTTTACAAACCCATTGCTATGCTAAGAAGTATTGATTCCATCTAGTTAAACATGTCGAGTGAGAGGAATTGATCAATGGATTACTTCTTCAAAACATTTATCCCCTTAGTGGGATCCTCTGATTTTTATAACCTTAAAGAGACAGGCACAGGAGTTAGGAGAATTTAAAATTTGAAATGTCTTCTTTTTCCATCTCTGTTAATGACAACTCCAGTTAACACGTGATTTTCTGGGTCTCCTTCTCTACTTCCCTCCATTATCACCACCTTTCATTGCTACTGCTGCCGTGGGTGCCCTGAGGAACATGAGATAGCCTTCCTCAGATAACTGGGTTTTAAATTCAGTTCATAGCTCTTAAGTGAAGGGAGTAGGGCCAAAAATGACTCACTGCCCAGTGGTGCCTGGAAACATTATCAGCAAAGGCATTCACCTAAGGAGAAAATAAACACAGAATTCTCATATGGGCCCATCTTTCCAGCCATCTCCTGGACTCTGGTAGCCTCTTCTGAGCCAGAGATCTCTCTAAAGTCACTCGCTGTCAGACCTTTTTGTCTGACATTTAGGAACGGCTGAAGTCCTTTATAAATCCCAGATGGAACAGGAGGAAAACTACTTTGAATTGGTCATTTCCATGATCTCTAAAATTCAGCAAACAGTATTTCTTAAGATTAATGGATGTAAGCCCATGACAGTTTCAATGTGGGACCAACTCAAGGGAAACTGATGACCTAAGTATCAAAAGACATTCATTACAACACAGTTTCACCTGAAGAGGGAGTCTTCCCCAGTAGTGTTTCTGCAGCAGAATTGCTTAGAAACTGCAGAGCATCCACAAGGCAAGTATCCCAGGCCATTGTTCCGGACTGTCTTTCAAACAGAAGACTGGCTAGTTGCCATTTGCTGAGGGCATCTGCTGCACTGGGAACTGCGCACGTATATGGATGGTATCGCTGACACTCACAAGTATGCAAGATAGAAACTAGATGCAATTTTTTCAGATTAGGAACCTGAGAATGGAAGATAGACTGGGAAGGGGAGCAGGAAGGATAGAGAGAGATTGGGTAATGGGTATGAAGTTACAGTTAAATAAGAGGAATAAATCCTGGTGCTCTGTTGCATAGTAGGGTGCTTATGGTTGAAAACATTGCATTGTCCATTTCAAAATAGCTAGAAGAGAGGCTTTGAATGTTCTCACCACAAGGATATGATAATGTATGAGGTAATGAATATGCCAAATACCCTGGTTTGATTATTACACATGGTATGCCTGTATCAAAGCATCACATTGTACCCCATAAATATGTACAACTATTATGTGTCAATTAAAAATAAAATAAAAATAGGCTGGGCACGGTGGCTTATGCCTGTCATCACAGGACTCTGGAAGGCCGAGGCAGGCGGGTCACAAGGTCAGAAGATCGAAATCATCCTGGTCAACATGGTGAAACCCCATCTTTACTAAAAATACAAAAATTAGCTGATTGTGATGGCGTGTGCCTGTAATCCCAGCTACTCAGGAGGCTGAGGCAGGAGAATCGCTTGAACCCAGGCAGCGGAGGTTACAGTGAGCAGAGATTGCACCACTGAACTCCAGCCTGGCGATAGAGCAAGACTCCATCTTAAAAAAAGCAATAATAATAAAATGAAAATTAAAAATTTTCTTGAGAAAAGAATGAAAGATAACTTGCTTTTGGCCACACAATTTGATAGGCATCATTTAAAAAACATTATAGTATAAGGCTAGGCATATTGGCACATGCGCCTGTACTCTCAGCTATTTAGGAGGCTGAGGCAGGAGGACCGCTTGATCCCAGGAGTTCGAGATCAGCCCAGGAGATCGAGAGGCAACATAGTGAGACTCTCATCTTAAAAAAATGTATATAGTATAGATGATATAAAAGGGCCAGCTTGCCAAATGAGTCAAATTATTCCTTAATTTAATACATTCCTAGGTAGTAAGGATCTTTAGAGAGCTAAATTAATTCCTTGCTATGTCATAGGATACCATTTATAAGTGTTCTCTTGGGGGTTAGCTTCATTTTATGTACTAAACACTTCTTTGAAAGGATCTTTGCCTTTTTCCATGTGCTAATTTGTATAGAGTATTTATGTATTATGGGAATTTAATTTATTCCTGCATTTTATCCAGGAAACTAGAGCCAGATGTTTTTGGACATTTGTTATTTGCTTTAAATAAGATACCGGGTTAAGATAAGAGAAATAAATTGATTAGATATTGCATCTTCCTCTGGAGAATGTAAAACTTTTCATGTTCTACATATCATCATACCTTACAACTTTAGAACAGACTCTAATACAAGAAAAATGTTTTAACTGTCCCTTTACTTACAGATGGCAGGGATGGAAAGGTGCGCTCGATTATACTAACAGAACTCTCAATTAATGGAAATTCAAATCGAAGACTCCTGTTGTGGATCAGGGACCATGGGTAAACATGCTTTCTAGGAGAGTTCACCACCGGGTTCCAGGAGAGGTCACAGTACTCCCGCACTCCTGACTGCAGACCCTTGGATTCCATTTCAGGCAGTGACACACCAAGAATAAGAGGAGCTGGCTGCAGCCCTGCCCACGTGTGTCTGCTGGCTCACCCTCCTGTCTGGCATCTCCACGCCCTTCCTCTTCCGGACTCCCTTGCATGAGCTTCCAAGCAGAATGAGCTGTCCTTCCAAATATGACCCTAACTCATTCAACAGCTGGAGCAAGAGCAAACTAGAGCTCACGCAAAGGTATTAGCATTGAGTCTTTTTTCCCTCTTTCTCTCTGACTAAAAGGTATTTGGAAAATTCATCTAAAAACCTTTTGTAAAAATTTCATTCATAAAAATAGCCAAAGGGTTTCTCAAAGAGTTTCCTTTTACAAAGTCTTTTGTAGGGAATGAATGTCTACTTTATTATTTTTCCTTCCTGTCCCTAACCTTGGAGAGGATTAGAGAGTCTGGGCAAGGAGAGGAGCCTCACACCCAGCCACCCACACTTTTCCTTGCTCTGTACAGGGTCTCTGGAAGAACACAGAGCCACCTTACATGCGAGGGAATGAGACCATGCTTTGAAGAGCTGGACTTTTTCCTTTTACTTACCCTTGAAATTGTTTCACTCTGATCTCCAGGTCAAAGAAGTGACCTACTACACATTTAGTCAAAATCTGTTTGTGCAAATAAGGTACAGTCCCTGCCTTCTTTATACAGTTTTCTTATCGCTAGGGGACTGGATTTAGTTCAACAACTGAGTCAGCATGAGCTCACACAAAACAAATCATTTCACATCAATGTCATTTTCTTCCCTAGCCTTTTTTATTTAAATAATTAGGTCAGGGAAATCCCATGTGCTTAGTATCATGTCAGCAAGGTATGTGACAAACTCTGGTCACAATAGAAAGTCGTTTAGTGAATTAATGTCAATTTGGAAAAGTAGCTAATATGTCTTGGGAGCTTGGTCCTTGCCTGTACACCTGCCTGAAGATCACAAGACTAAGAAGGAAACGTAACATACACTGAATGACAGACTCAGAGCTCAGCAATATCTCAGAAGCCTGTCATATGAGCCAAATCCGATACAAAACAATCTAGCAATATTAAGTAATCATCACATTTTGTACTTGAATAAAGAAATTTAATATAATCACTTTGGGGTAGGAAAAGCCAAGTTTAATGTTGGTTAAAAAACAGTTTGAAAATTGTATTTGTCCGTCTTCAATATGATGTTTCTTCCAAAATATCTCAAGTAACCTGAATTAATAGTAGAAATAATATCTACCATTTACTGAGTACCTAGGATCTGCTAAAATAACAAACTTACAATGAAGGTATAACTATTCCCATTTTACAGATGAAAAAAATGGAGGCGGTTAAGTAACCAGCACTAAGTCAAAGTGGCTAGCAAAGATAAAAACCAACTTGTTAGCCAATGTTAGGCAGCTCAAGTCCTTTCCTCTGTGCCTGAAATGAAAGACCTTTTCCAAGAATTTTGCATTGGTTATTCATATCACGTATGGAAAATGTTATTCATCTCAATGAACCAAAATAGTCAAGACACAAAGGAATGTCTATAGGAAAATGACTAGGATAGGAAAGAGTCTGTAAGCCATGCAAGAAAAGACACAGTCGAAGAGATGGTAAATGTTTAACATGAAAAATAGAAGATTCGGTGTGGGGTACAGGAGATACCTTCAAATACTGAAGATCTGTGGTCAACTGGGGCAAATATCTTAATCAAATAAATTCTCCAACAATAAGAGTTTCATTTCAAATAAGGGAAGAGAAAGTTTCCCAAATGAGCATTTTCAGTCACTAGAAGCAGAATTGGAGAGACACCTGCCAGGATTGTTATTGAATGAAATTCTGACTTTGAAAACATTTGACCTATGTGATAAAATGAAATCACTTCCAATTCTACAATTCTGTTTTGTAAAGCTAGTTTTACCCTTCACAGAGGTGCACCCAAGAGAACTGTGTGATTGATTTAATGTTAGGGGTGAATGAGCATAAGCAATTGAAGAAAACTTCAAAGTTTTGGACCTTGTAACTAATATATTGATACAATTAAAAAAAAAAAAACCTTTAATAAAAGAGAACCACATTAAGTGGAAGATAATTAAGTAGAAATAAATATGCAAACTGAAGCCTAAGATTTCAGTATTGAGTGTACTGATTGCATAATTCAAATATTCTTTTACATCATGGCAGAAAAATGCTAAAATCTAGGGATATATGCTGACTGGTAACTGAGTTTTATACAAATAATTTTTAAATTTATTAAATTAAATTTAAAAGCCTCTTGTAATTTAGAACTATAAAATGTTATAATATTAACTACTTACTTCAATCTCCTAATTTTACAATTGAAAAAACCATGTCTCAGAAAATCTAAGGGACATATTCTGTACTCTGGGAACTGGTTCCCAATTCACATCTCTGTCTGCAAATTAAAAAAAAAAAATTCTGAAACATTCAAATCTGGAATAAAGACACCACCTATATTTTTTAGGAAGAAAATAAAATTAAAAAAAAAAACTAGTCTTAACTACATATAATACACAAAGGTCCACTTTGTTATGGTATAAGGCAACACTGCCCCTTAGGAGTTTTAAAGTATGAATTCCACACTTCACCATGCTCTGGGATGTTTTCACAGTATTTTTAACATTGGTCCTCATAGTCTTAATTTACCTCTGGAAATTTCCATGGATGCTTAAACAATAAAGAACAAAGAAGCACATGGCTGTGTTATTTAGAGTTGGTGAATTAGGTTCTATAAGTCTTTTGATTTCCTTTTAGATGGTGTCTTGTCAGTTTCTAAGATCAGAGGGAGGCCAGCTCCAGGAGTGCTCATGCCTGCATCAATGGTCTTCCATACTATCTGATGAAAAGATTCATTCTGTGTCTCAAAAGGATATTCCAGATCCAGCTCTGAGTCAGCAGGTCTTTGGTGTATATATATATATATATGTATATAAGTTTTCCACTGCTTCATTTTTTTAAATCCATCTGACAAGGTCAAGGTGGGATTGAGACAAGAAAAATTTGGAACTAGTCCCATTTGAGACTTAGTTCCTTTAAAAAACCTGTTTTTAATAATCTGAAAGTTTACATAATTTTGACATGCAAGTTATATACATGTGTGTGTATGTGTGCATGCTTGTATGTATGTTCATTTTTTTAAAGAGATTCAAACTAAATAAAATTTTGATTGAGTGCATTGCTTAAATGACTAGAGCATCAGCTGTTATAACTTCAACTTTAAACACTGAACTGAAACATGGGCTTCATGTTCCAATTCATACTGAAGCTTTATAATATGTGGCCTTAGAGTAGAAGTATAATGGTCTCTTGGGAGAGGCAGGATCCAATTAAAATTCAGTTTGCTGTCTTTTGGAAAGACATAAGCAGTTATATATCCTCTGAGAGGGCCTTAAGAAATACACACCTGAGCTTTAAATGGCTACTCATTTGACTGTGAAGTTGAATTTTAATTCATCAGGGAGTCAGAGCACAAGAAAGAATTCAAATAACAACACTCTGATATTTCCTGGTGTGTTACCAGGGAGAAAAGAGCTCCTGGAAAATGAATGCCTTACACATTTGCAGATATTACCAACCACTTATAAAAACAAGGCTATTGTTATGCATAAAAGTCACTCCTTTTAGGAGAAGCCTGAGAGTGAATTGAAATGTGGCTGACATTTCTACCACAAGATAAAATGTTTTTTTTAAATATCATGTTTAAGTTCTCTTAGTTAAAAAAAGAAAAGGGAAAAAAGAAGAAAAAAGAAAGAAAAATATCTATAATCCAATACCAGACACTTCACCCATGAAATAACTCACTGGAAGACATTACGTTTCTAAACACAAAAGCAATTAGCAGCCTTTTTAAATTCTCTTTTAGCTCGGTAAGGAAATTATTCACCATATTTTGAAATCCCACATGTTATTTTTAAAAGACAAAATATATAGTACATTGAACAGAAAACATAAGAATGCTTTCTATCTCATTTGTTAGTTCATGCCTAAGATTAAATACCCCAACACGTATAGGAACCTCCCCACCCCCACTTTACTCGGAGATTCTTTTGCTTACTTCTTTTTACAACAAGGGCTTTGATGTATTTTTAAAAATGTAAATAGAAAAAGCCACTATATTGCCTCAGAGCTACTCCACCTCACTGCCTCACTTTAAATTCTGATTGACTGTAATGAGATCACAGACAGATTGATGAAATAAGATCGATGGGTTTATTACACATCCATATTCAGGTACTAAATAGCATTGGACTTGGGGTAATTTAGTTATGTAGCTCATTTATTTCGTCAACAAATTTGTTGAACAGCAGTATTAGTTAAGGCAATGCGAGCTGATGTCGTAAATAAACTCCCAAATCACAATGGCCTAAAACATTAAAGGTGTAATTTTCGTTCATAGAGGCAGTGCAATGTGAGCAACTACAGGATTCAGGCAGCCAGAATCCATTCATTCTGTGTTTCCATTATCTTCTAGAGCTTCGAAGCCTTCTGCATTTATCCCAGATAATGCAAAGAAATTAGAGAAGGTGCATCTGTTTTTAACCATTGTCTTCTCACTTGCTCTTGGAATTAACAATCACACAACCATACCTAAGAGCAAAGTGATCGTGAAGCATATTTCCTGTTGGGGCAACACCTTCCGGTGATAACTTCACGCTCTGAAGGGGGTCAGCTGTAACACCTGTAATAATAATGTACTGGACATTGTGGAATTTTCAAAAAGAAACAAAACTGGGAGCTTGTCTTCCAGAAGTATGCATTTTAGCAAATTTTTGCAAGAATCTTATTACCTCACCAATAATAATAGTTAATATATATTAGAAGTTTGTTGTGTATTGGGCTCGTTATTATTCCAGAGGGTATGTGGGTGGTATTTCAGGACTCAAACTCTGGTCTGTGGGCTGTCCAAATTTATGCTCTTGCCTTCTGCCCTCTGTAGACTTCTAATCACTTAAGGCAAGAGACTCAAGTCTGGCTCTCCTAGAAGTTCCTACTGCATGGCAAAGCCCACACCAGACAATGAAGGAATGTGGATTATACTAAACAGAACCCTAACACCTACTACACAGGTAACTATTGGCAATAAATTAGAGTTTGATTCCAACTCATAAAAAGCTGTACTCCAAAATGCAATTCACCATAAATGAGAGCCTTTTTAAAATAGGAGTTGCCTGTGCTAAAAATATTGATTTGTTTTTTAAATCTGAGTCACTGGTCATTAGAGAAATGGAAATCAAAATCAAAATGAGATACCATCTCATGCCAGTTAGAATGACGGTCTTTAAAAAATCAGGAAACAAGGGATGCTGGAGAGAATATGGAGAAATAGGAGTGCTTTTACACTGTTGGTGGGAGTGTAAATTAATTAAACCATTATAGAAGACAGTGTGGTGATTCCTCAAGGATCTAGAACTTGAAATGCCATTTGATCCAGCAATTCCATTATTGTGCATATACCCAAAGGATTATAAATCATTATATTATAAAGACACATGCACATGTTTATTGCAGCACTGTTCACAAGAGCAAAGATTTGGAAACAACCCAAATGCCCATCAATGATAGACTGGATAAAGAAAATGTGGCACATATACATCATGGAATACTATGCAGCCATAAAAAGGATTAGTTGATGTTCTTTGCAGAGACATAGATGAAGCTGGAAACCATCATTCTCACCAAACTAACACAAGAACAGAAAATCAAATACCACATTTTCTCACTCATAAGCAGGAGTTGAAAAAAAATCTGAGTCAATTGAAATGAAAATGCTAATTTGAGTAAATGAGCAAATGAGTATTAGTGAGAAAACTCACATAAAAGTACAAGAGAGAGCAAGATGCCCAATAGATTAATACAACACTTTAACCAGAATGTTCCGTTATACAGTATTCTTTCTGCACATACACCCTCTAACTAGCAAAGCTGTCTTGCTTCACATGATCTTATCCTATTTTGATGAGTTTTTTTTCTGAAAGAAATCAAGGGAGAATTCCTCCAGTTCTTGTTTTCTGTGAAAATTCTCCTAAGTTTTAGGGACAGAGTTTTAAAAGAAGGAATTCTAGGCACTTCTTGACTTGGAGCAGAATAGAGATGTACTCCAGTAAGGAACATAGTTCATGGGCCTAAGTGACTTGAATATGAGGTAGAATTGGGGGTGAATAACCCCAAATGTATAGATGATATTCTATCAGACAGGAGATATTACCTATAGCTTTGCAAAAGAAACAAACTTTTAGCTAGGCCTTTTGGATACACATAAAATTAATTAGGCTTACCAAGTATAGAAAAAACAGGAAATTGTCATTTAGAAGGACATGATCTATTCAGGTAGTCAACCAACATATACATTGAGTGCTTTGATGCAAGGTAGGGTATGAAGAGCAGTGGAGAGAAGGGGATAGTAAAACGTTGCAAGACAATACCTATTCCCATATAGGTCAGGAGCTAAGAGCAACCACAAAAGAGAGCAATGGGCACATATGGTGCACCCACCTGTATCAGCTAACATGCTACGTGAATTATTCAAATGATCTCATTTGGCACTATACGTGTAAAGTACACAGCAAGGTGCCTGCCACAGAAAGAGTGTACAACAAGTCGTAGCTGTGATTGAAATGCCAGTTTCATGCGGAGGTTATTATCTGTTTTCAAATTAAAGAAAGTGAGGCATGGTGAGGCTATGCGATGCTACAAGCTCAATGTTTCTGTCCCCACAAAATGTGTATGTTGGAATCTATTCACCAAGGTGATCGTGATTAGTTTCCAATTGCCACTGCCTTGGGGAGGTGATTAGGTCATGAAAACTCCACCTTCATAAATGTTCTTATATAATAAGAATAGTATCCTTAGAAAAGAGGACTGGGGAAGCTTATTTGTCCCTTCTGCCATGTGAGGATGTAGCAACAAAGTACAATCTTTGAAGCAGAAAGGGAGCTCTCATCAGACACTGAATCTGTCAATACTTTGATCGTGGACTTCCCAGCCTCCAGGACTGTAAGCAATAAATTTCTGTTGTTTATAAGTTATCCAATCTAAGGTATTTTCTTACAGCAGCCTAAGTGGACTAAGATAGAGGATATATCCAAAGCCCCTTAGCTGGAGAAAGCAGACTACACGCGTGGAAAGTTCAATAACAATGACATTCTTTGTGAAAGCCGCTCTCCCGGTAGTTCTATTTTACTATTAGAATATTCATCTTGGTGTCTGGGTTGTTATTCCTTAATCTGGCTGCTGAATCCCCTTTGGGTGTTTATGATTTTAACTGCCTGCCCGGGGTTCTAGTTGCCTGGGTTAGGCAATTTGCAGAAATTGAGTCCTGAGCACCTATGCTGCAGCTCCCCAAGAGTCTTCCATTCTAATTCTAATCAACTTTCAGCTACCTATCTTAAGCAGAGTACCTTTTAGAGCAGGGTGATGGGGGAGCCTAGAGGTCACATGCAAGGCCTCCCATCTATGGAGGTTTAGTTGGAGAAAGCGGACAATGAGTTGATTCCTGTGCAGCAGTAGTCATGGACCTGGGGACAAGAATCAGAGCACTGTGCTATCTCCCAGGGCCCCTAGAGTGTGACCCTGGGAGACAGATCTGTGAAATCCCTAAAGGGCAGCATGCCAGATTGATGAGATGATCTTGGGGGTACCTGCTAGTCTCCTTGGCTTCAGAGGGGTGTGGAGGGAGGGGGAAAGATAGGCTCAGATCTTCTCTGCCCTTGAGGCTGGTCAAACATGTTGTGGTTTTATAGAGAAGTGTCTTCTCCTTGTACCTTGTACAGATGATTCACTAACAGGGCCTGAGACTGTTGTATATCCTTCCATTTCAGCGACTCAAGTGTCCTCAGAACTAATCCAGGTAATCAGAACCAGGAGCAGGCAGTTAAAATCATAAATGCCCAAATGCGACCTAGCCGCCAGATTAAGGAATAACAACAACCCATGAACCAAGATGAACATTCTGCCAGTAAAATAGAACTGCCAGAAGAGAGAGATAACAACTTTAACCAAGAATCAAAAGCATACTTACAAAAATGGAAAAATAGCATGAAAATAACTTTCCAGCAATCGAAAATACAGTTTTTAAATTAAAAACATTAATTCAGCTAAGGAAAGGATGGTCTAGGATGAGACGGACTCATCTGTAATCTAAGGCATTATAAGGTAGATACCAAATGAGTAGTTTTGATTCTCAGATGGAATCGACCATTAGACTCACCTGTTAAAAATACAGGCTTATCAACTTACCCACCCCTAATACATCAGGAACTCTGGAAGTCGAGCCAATGAAATGGCATTTTTGTTTGAAGTGGCCACTGGTTTGGGGCACTGGTTATGGGGGCTGTGGAAACTGGCAGTAAATATTGAATGAGTTATCAGGGTGAGAGGTCACCAGGTCTGCAGGGATGGTTGTAAGGACTGCAGGAGAGAGAGGAGGACTGAAACAGGCTGTGAGAGGTGGGGAGAGGTTATCGATAGTGACTTAAAAATATGAAACAAAGACTGTTTGGTCTGCATGATCCCAAGTTTTCACCAGATGTAGACACACGCACTTGTCACAACTGTAGATGAAACAGCAAGTCTAAAATTTCTATAAGTTTAGCCTTTAATATGAAACACATCAGATAAATAAGAAGTTGAATTATTACAATTTTGCAAATGTTTAGGAAGCTTGTGTTCATCTAGTTGACATTTCCTTCACTCTGTGTGTGCATGTTTGAGAACTGAAATACAAAAGTTAAACCTTTAGTCTTACTTTTTTAACCACTGACAATAATTATGGTCCATTTCTCTCCCAATGTTCTATTTCAAGAAAGATGGATCTGTTTGTCAAGGTCTGAGCAAACAGTAGGAGTAAGTGGAGTGCTTGGAAGGCAAATCTGTAGTGGTGTGTTCAGTTTGATAAAAGCACTCTTGCATATTTTTCTCCGAAGTTTCCTGAACCACTCCACTAAGGGAGACAACCTTGTACTTCTTGGCTTTCTTCTCTTCAAATGGCTACTTCTGAGTCACTGATGTAAAATAACAGGAATCAAAGGATTTGTGGATCAAGAAAAATGACTCCTGACCATTTCCAGTAGGTTATTTCCTTGGAACTGCTCCCCTCTGCCCCCGGAAGGCGTAATGGATTTGGACTAAATGTAATCAAAAATTTTCGCTTGCATCCTTATTTCCTGAAAATAGCTCAGTTCCATGAAGCTGAACTTTCTGCAGCAGTGAGACCCATGGCATGTCTGCTTCCCCGGGGGAAATAAACTTGATGTTTCCCTGAGTCAGAGCCATAGAACAACAGTCTCGTGAAATGCTCTACGCCAAACCAAAAGCACTCTGCACTCAGAGGGCTGCCGGGCTCATGAGCATATCCAAGCTTCTGGGAGCCCTGCAGCAGAGAAATCATTTCACTCATAACTCTCTTTAACTTAGCCACTTGTATTCACTTTCAAGCACTGCCTTAACAAAGTACCAAAGGGGTGGTTTAGACAACAGAAACGTATTGTCTCATAGTTCTGGAGGCTAGAAGTTCAAAATCAAAGTATTGGCAGCCCTGTCCTAAGCCTCCCTCCTTGGCTTGTAGATGGCTGATTTCATGTTCACAGGATATTCTCTCCATACAGGTGTCTATCTCCGAATTCTACCTATAAAGACACCAGTCATAGTGGATTAGAGTCCAACTAAAGAATTCATTTTAATAACTTGACATCCTCTGTAAAGACCCTCTCTCCAAATAAAGTCACATTCTGAGGCTCTGAGGTTTAGAACTTACATCTGAATTTGAGGAGGGAGATGTAATTCGACTGATTTAACCACTGAACACTTTTTTTCCCCTGTCATCTATTAACAACCCGCAGAACACATTTAGAGAGATCTTACTGGGGCTTCACAGTCATCATGCTGTGCCTCAATGGTTCCCAAATGAGAAACTGTCTCCAAAAAAATAAAAAATTAGATTCTTGGGTCTCACCTCCACAAATTAAAATCCACTAGATCTAAGGAGGAACTCAGGAACTTGCAATTTACAAACTTGCCCAGAAGATTATGATGCATAACCAGATTGGAGTTCCACAGCCAGTTAGTGCACCACTACTATTTTTTAGACTTGATTTGGGCCATAAATCTTAGAATAGCTGCCTAAGAAGTGCTCTTCTTTAAACAATATGAACATAGAATTGTTTTCTCATCTCTGTTTTTATTACATCTTCTGTCTTCCTCCATTGTAGTACAAACCACTTGATGTGTGTAGATTCTGCCTTACTCATCTTTTTATTCTCAGTGTGTACCAGAGAATCCACACATAAATACCATTCAGTAAGTGTTTATTGAAGAAATAAATACCTCCAGCAACACAGGCAAACTGTACAATTGTTTCATTGTTTAAAGAAGTTCTTGGCCAGGCTCAGTGGCTCATGCCGTGTATCCCAGAACTTTGGGAGGCTGAGACAGGTGGATCTCTTAGGCTCAGGAGTTCGAGACCAGCCTGGCCAACGTGGTGAAACCCCATCTCTATTAAAAATACAAAAAAAGGAAAAGTAACCCGGCATGGTGGTATGCGCCTGTGGTCCCAGATACTCAGGTGACTGAGGCAGGAGAATTACTTGAACCTGGGAGGCAGAGGTTACAGTGAGCTGAGATCACGCCGCTGCACTCCAGCCTGGGTGACAGAGCGAGACTCCATCTCAAAAGAAATGTTATTGACGTTGACATATCTTTGTACTTGAGAAAACTCAGCTACTCTTAAAATTTTAACCCATGCAGCCATGTCTGCTGTCCTGCCTCATTTTTACTCCTGCCATAATAGCTTACCTTTCGTTTTAGGACATCTTTCTCTTTCCAGCCTCAAGGATCTTTTGCACATGCTATTTTGGAACTCTTCTCTCTGCCCTCTTTCTCCACCTCACCCCCAATTGCCAGTACTATTTCCAAATGAATATTTGCTCTGCCCTTCAAATTAGAAGTGGTGGCCCGTTAAACGTTTTCATAATACTTCATTTTTTTCCCATCGAGACACTGATCATACTTGTAATAAATTGTTCAATGGTTGCTTTTTCTGACAAACTCTAATCTACATGTGAGCTGGCTTTATGTCTGTTGTGTTCATTTTTGAAGCCACAGAAATGTGAACAGAGTAGGAACTCAAATATTGAGTTGTTATGCAGTTCACCATGATTACATATTTTTTCCCACCATTAAACTGGGAGCTTTTCTACAGCAGGGACTAGATTAATTTATTTTTCTATTTTTGGTACTTGGCACAGTGCCTGAAAGGCAGAACAAGCACAATAAATTTTCTTAAAATTTGTAAGGCTTTTGTTTATTTGAATGGTTGTTTACGTTTTGCCTAGATGAAAGCCTGGGATAGAAATTTAGAACAAGGTTGGATGTTGGTGATCATATAGATTTGTTCTTTCTTGCCATTAGAGCGCAAACTTAAAAAACATCTGTCAAATAAAAACAAACCAGAATAATAGAGAATATTTAATGCAACCAAGGGACCTCAGACAACTGACATACTTCTAAAAAGCAGAAAGTAATAGTAAATGAGATAATGGTGTACGAGTTAGTTTTCCAATTGCCAAAAGAGCACTTCATATACAGCTATAGGCAGTCATCTTCTTATGGAGAAACTGGAACACTTATGGAATGGCAGTTCCATCAATTCCCTGTTTCAAACAGCAGAAAAACCTGAAGGAGACAAGCTCAGCTACAGTCCAGCTGGGACCTGTGGCAATGACCTGACTTAAAGTTACGTAAGTGATCAGGACCATATGTGGTCCGTACCCCTCTGCCTGAGGATGTCACTCAGCTGTTTAACTCTCTCAAACATTCTGTTCTTTTACTGACAACCTACTGCAGTCAAATTGTTTATTCCCGTAATATGGAAACTTGGCTCTGTAGTAACTTCCTGTTCCTACTTCTAGGCAATCATGTAAGATAAGGGGAATGGGCACCTATTTCTCTGGGGAAGGTGAAAGGTGCTTTTATTTCTTTCCAGTATCCCCACTATGTAGAGATGATCATGAGGGAGAGGAGAAAAAATTTGCATTGGACCAAATCACTGCCTTAGAAAAAAAACAGATTGCAATCCCATCCATTTTTCTTGAAAGGTAAGTGAATTTTTAACATCTGCAATGAGTTGGGATGATACCCACTGAGGTCTCTTGGCAGTTAAAAAAAGAAAAAAAGTGGTTACCTCTTTGGCCTCTTTGGCAAAGGATATGAACTAGTAATAAAGCCTCAGCATCAGGGCTTGGGAGTCTGACTCAAAGTGGCTAAGACTAGGAGTATCTTCTAATATAAATATGGCAGCATTAGGAAAATGGCTTGGCCTTTAGAGAGACCCAGATTATCTTCACCTTAAAAACTACCAAGACCCTGATCCAACAAGGCCACCATCACAGCAGTAAATACATATCCACCAACTTCACAGAAGGTTTTCCACTGAGACATTGTGAAAACCACAATCCATTACTGGTGGATGAGTCCCAGCTCTCTTACTACCTGAGGTTTCCAAGCAAGATTTACCTGTCCTTTGTTCTAGATTGATTCCTGGGATCCTAGACCAGCACAAAGAGAAGAGGAAAGCCTCAAGGGCAATAAAAGTGAAAGTTTCAGTGATAGTTTAAATATCTGTTTTCAAATGTTAGCTTTTTTAAAAAAATACTGCAGGCTGATGGGTGGAGCATTTCCACCACAATGGCAAAGAATGAATTACCAGTAGTGTCAGCTTCCTGTTGTTGTGGGAAGAGAGCTGTCATGTTGAGGGGTGCTTCGTGGAGAGGCTCATGTGGCTCTCTGAGGAAATGAGGGTGGCTTCTGTCCCACTACTAGTGAGGAATTGAGGCCCTCAAATCCAATAGTCCACGAGGAACTAAATTCTACCAACAACTATAGGAGTGAGGCTGGAATCCGATTTTCCCCAGTTGGAGACTTAAGGTACCAATAACGCAGCTGTTAGGCGCTAAACTGCAACCTGCTCAAATGTATACTTTGGAGTCTTAACTCCCAGTATCTCAGAACATGACTTTATTCGGAGACAGTCATTAAAGAGGTAAGGAAGTTAAAATGAGGTCATAAAGATGAATCCTAATCCAATAGGACTGGTTTTCTAACACGAAGAGGAAATTTGAACACAGACACATATAGAGAAAAGGCCATATGAAGAAGACACAGGAAAGAAGTGGCCATCTATAATCCAAGGAGAGAGGCCTCAGAATAAGCCAAGCCTGCAGATATCTTGATCTAGGCCTCCAGAATTGTATGAAAATATACTTTTGTTATTTAAGCCACCCAGTCTGTGGTGCTTTGCTATGGCAATGCCAGTAAACTAATTAACTAATTGACTGCAGCCTTGCTAGGAACCCTGAACCAGAGAACCCAGTTAAGCTGTGTGCAGATTCCTGACTCACAGAACTAGGAGATAATAAATATATTTTCTAAGATGCAAAATGTTGGGATCATATGTTATGTAGCTATGTTGTTTTTGCACATGTGCCACATAATGATGTTTTGGTCAACAACAGACCATATATATGATGGTGGTCCCATAGATTGTAATACCGTATTTCTATTATGCATTCTCTATGTTTAGATATACAATTACTCACCATTGTGTTACAGTTGCCTACTGTATTCAGTACTATAACATGATGTACAGGTTTGTAGCCTAGAATCAATAGTCTATACCATACAGCCTGCATGTGTAGTAGGCTATAACACCTGTTTGCAAAGTACACTCTATGTTGTTCACATAACTATGAAGTTGCCTAGTGATGCATTTCTCAGAAAGCATGCTCAACATTAAGCGACACATGGCTTTTTGTCTATCATGCATTTAAGATACTGCAATATAGTTAACTTATGTTTTAATACATCTCTTAATTCTGTTTTGATCCCACACCCACCAAGGTGCAAAATGAATTTTTTTCACCCATTTCCGTAAGAAACATAATCACAGTGGGCTCAATGTGGTGTTTGTCATTTTCCCTGAAGATTTGTGGTGGTATAGAAAGCAGTGACAGCACACTGTATAAAGCTCTTCCATGGCCTGGAAATGGCCATCTACAATCAAAGGAGAGAAGGCTCAGCACAAGTCAACCCTGCACATACCTTGATCTAGGCCTCTAGAATTGTATGAGAATACATTTTTGTTATTTAAGCTACCTCTTTTTGTAGTCACCTCTGTTATTTGAAGGAATGGTCCAACCAACCCCAAAGCTCTGGAAATTGGCACCAAAATAATTTTACCCTGAAATCATTGAAGCTTAAGTTTCAGGCCCCAGTTTCACATTCCTGAGAGCTCTGCAAGTCACTGGGAGCTGTAGAGTCTTCTAGGTAGAATTGGAAAATGAGGTGAAAATCCCTCAAAAAGTCTCAGAAGCCTGCATCTCCAAGCCTCTGGCAATTTTCTTGTGGTTTCTATCCTCATTCTAGATATTTGCTTTTGAGACTGATTTTAAATTCAGAATTTTGTATTCTCTCAAAAAGAGGATTCTCCAAATTCTATAAGCTTCAGGCTCTACAAAACCTATCTATTCTGCCTAACTAGATTGATCATGGCACATACCAAAGATGGCTGTACCTCATGAGGACTTTTCATATCAGACCCTTAGAGGATAGTATTTTTGCATATAGTTACATATAATTGATTTTCATGCACCTGTATCATGTTAACCATAGTCAGTGTCCATATCCAATTTATTTTTTGTGTCCTTGGTACTCAGAAAGTTACCAGATGTTCAGTTTGAATTTTATTCAAAATATATTGTTGAATTAGATTTAAAGATAGATTAAATTAATTCCTACACATGATCTGATTTAATGGATAAAATAAGGGACCAAGCATTAGCCTGAACTGTATGCTTGCATTAACCATGATGTTCCCCAGAGAGAATAATATTTGAGGAACACTGCATAGGCTGAAAAACAAGAGTTCCCAGCAGAACTGTGGGAACTTTTCTTCTTCACGCTGTGAGACACCTGGGGAAAGTTCTCCACATCTGGTTTTTCAGCTACTCTGCCCATGACTAGTAGGAAGATTATTTTATTTTATTGATGGTAAAAGAAACTGTTATTGTTACTTTAATGAAAAAGAACCAACTGGAAAGTCTAGTGGTATTTTTGAAGGCAGGGACCAGTTTTTCCAGTGATTTGCTTCTCTGTGCTAGTGCTCCAATCACCCTTGCACCCCTTCAGCAAAATTCTGAGCACATTGTAGGTGTAGCAGGGAGATGTTAAGATGAAAACTTGGCCCTGACCAGGGTCTCTATTCTGGTTTTATCCATAAACATCAATATTTATCACCAGATGATATTTTGATTTTTTATCTGTCTCCTATACCTATTGATCTATTTTTCACAGCTTATAGTGGGGAGGGGCATGTTTTGTTATTATCCTTAAACCAAAGCAATTTCTTCTTGAAAAATAGGATGCCATGCTCTGATGTTTGCAGTGTCAAGGAAATTCTTGCTCTGAGAGTTCCAGAAGAAAAGATTTGTCCAGATTTGAACTAATTTCAGAAAAACAGAACAAAAGCCATCCAAGGTTAAAAGGTGACTTCTGACTCACAGAATGAACAAGAAGGCAGGGGGAAAAAAAGGCCCCCAAGATTCAGGCCAAAGTAAATGAACAGAAGAATGATGGAGTGGCCCAGAGGAGGATCACGTGACAGAAAAGTCAAGATAAATTAGTGGGAGGACAGAGGAACAGAACCAAAGACCTGCAGGATCATAAAAGAAAGAATGAAAGGAAGCAGATGAAGATTCTAGAGCCCAGCTGAATAGCCAGGATCCCTGAGGGTAAAAAGGGAGAGAAAGAGAAGGCAGTGAATCAAGTCAAAGAAGGGTAGAAAAATACAGAAAAACAAGGCAGGGTGTGGTGGCTTAAATCTGTAATCCCAACACTTTGGGAGGCCGAGGAAGGCGGATCACAGGGGGCCAAAAGTTCGAGACCACCCTGGCCAACATGGTGAAACCCTGTTTCTACTAGAAAAATATGGAGAAAGGTTTGAGGGATTGTGCACTGCCAGGGGTGAGAACATAAATTTATCTGCTACATGAATGTTTTTTGAGACCCATCTAGTTCTTTTACAATTTTAATTTAGAATTTCTATAACTAGCTCTAAATCAGGATCATTAGCTGGAAATTCTTATAAATGAAAAACAAAACTACTGCAAACAAGTGGGAGTTCTCATAACCTTAATCAGAAAGGCTTGTGTTGCATTTCCAAATCCTGTCTCTAGAGACCATGAGTTTTTAATAATAGCATTTCCATGAAAGCCCAATTGAATACAATCACCACCCAGACCAAAGTGTGGGAGAAATCACAAAACTACTTTCAAATCCAAGTCTTCTTTGAAATTTAAAATTATATTCTATGATAATGGCTCTCAAAAACCTTAATGCAAGGGGGAAAAAAAAAAAACTAAAGCAGAATAAAGAAGATTTAAAAAGAAGCAGGATAGGAAAAAAGCCAGAGGCTGGCTACATCTTTCCATAAAGCACATCAGGTCTCATAAGTACATGATAGCTAGGCCCAGTAGTTTCAAGCCTTGGAGACTCATTTCAAACAAACTCCGTGGAAAGACACTCAATTAAGTGTTCAGGACAATTGCATATCCCCAGTTCACTCATGTACTGGAAGTGTCTAAACTCTGTCCTCAGTGGTCAATAAAATGGTATTAAGTCACAGAAAACCCATTGCCACTGGTATTGGCTGATGTCTCTGGTAGTTTATGTGATGACAAATATTAGCCTTAACAGCAGAGCCTTCCTTTGTTAGATTTCTGTTTGAAATTCTGTGGCTGGGAAATGTTTATGTTCACATGAAAATAGCTGTAAGCAAGCCATCTTATGGTAAACATCTCAAGAAAGAGCAAATTCCATCTTTTTAAATAGAAAAAAAAGGCAAGAGTAAAATGAAATTAATGCCTTTGGCTCCTTGTGTTGTAAAATTATCCTGAAGTTATTTCACACTGTCCTAAAAAATAACTGAATTCAGATTATATCATGGTATGTGGCTCTTACAAAGCTGTGTTAGGCAGATGTATCTTTAATGAGGCTGATTAGGTAAGAGAAACAGATACTCTAGATTGAGAGCCATCTCAACAAATGTGAAACAACTGTATTAATTTAATTTAATTTAATTTAATTTAATTTAATTTAATTTAATTTAACCAATGTGTTTATTGTTCCCTGCCTTCTTCCAGAAAGGATTTAGGGAGCTTAGCTAATGTGGAGGTCTGAAGGTGTAGATACTCATGAAAGCCTCAGATTAATATCTAGAATATATAACGTGTCCAGATAGTTTTCAATTATCAATGCATTAATCTAAGCTTGGAAAGGACTTTTAAACTGCAGTGAAACCTCAACTAGCTTCAAACCTGCATTTTCTAGCAAGCTATTTTGTCACTTGGAGACCCACACAAGAAACCTATTGTTCCTTTAAAAAGGAGAGAGAGAAAAAAAAAAAAGAAAAGCAACCTGCTGGTGTTGCTTTGTTCATCTTATCACCTTATCATTCAGCAGCCTATTCAGGATCAAATGTGGGAAAGTCTGTGTGTGAGATTAAGCCCTATACTCAGCACAGGAATTTCTTGGATAAACATCTTTCTTAAATGGGTAGCTATGTGAAAAAAAAACAGGAGAAAAACTCTATTATTACAATGTAGTTTTTGTTGTTGTTGTTATTCAGTATATTTCAAACCTAATATTTAAAATTAAGAAAATTCAAAGCAGACCATCTGTGTGGATGTTTTCATGCTCTATCTTTGTGACAACAGCCTGCTTAACCGTGATTATTAGTGGATTCTTTCAATAAGAGGAAGAGAGTACCATCGTTAAGATGATATGCCTCCCCTATCCTTTTGTTTTTGAGATTAAAGAGTGACTACACACACACACACACACACACACACACACACACACACACACACGTTTTTATTATTAAGACGGAGTCTCTTCTGTCACCAAGGCTAGAGTGCAGTGGCACGATCTTGGCTTACCGGAACCTCTGCCTCCCAGGTTCAAGCAATTCTCCCACTTTAGCCTCCTGAGTAGCTGGGATTACAGGCACCCACCACCATGCCCAGCTAATTTTTGCATTTTTAGTAGAGATGGGGTTTCACCACATTGGCCCAACCGGTCTCGAACTCCTGACCTCAAGTGATCCACCCCCCTCTGCATCCCACAGTGCTGGGATTACAGGTGTGAGCCACTGCACCTGCCCCCAAAAAAATGTTTTCTTAAAAATAAGTTATTTTCTATCTAACTACATCAATATTTCATGAACATTGTGGGGGAAAGAATATTCACACAGTTCTCTAAATATAACAGTGAGTTGAGGTCCCAAGTATAGAATTCTATTGAATTCTAATCTCAACACTGAAGCAGACGTATTCTAAAATCCTGCTACCTGGACTAACCCCAGACTATACCCAGATTCCATCTACGAGATGCAATGGTGCCAAACATCACACAATTGAGGAATATTTATTATATATCTTTAGAAGTGAGAGAGTATTTATAGATGTGACAAACAATTGATCAGATACTACTGGACGTTTAGAGGTTTCACTAAATTTTTCACTAAATTTGTTGATAGCTGTTTAATTCTAAAGCTCATTTTACTACTATTGCTGATTTTCCCTTGGGCAATTTCATGGGCATCACTTCACTGAAAAGAAAAACGAGTACGTATTATTTCACTAGTACATGAATAACTATCTCAAACACAATGCATTCTACATGGTTTATTACTAACCTACATCATTTAAGTTTTAGAATTTACAGTATTTTGGGGGGGGATGAATAAATAGCATGCTGTTCTTTTATTCCTAGCAAATGGGACTCAGCTTTGGAGACAAGAAGAAGGAATACAGGAGACGTTTCCTTGAATGAGTCTGCTTCCTTAACTCTCTGCTAGAAGAATTTCAGAAAGAGAAGGTTATCTCAATCTCCAAGTTATGAAAACATGAGATCTTTCTGATGAGTTTTCTAGGGAAAGTATTTCATGTCCTAGTGTGGCTTTTTGCACACTAGGAAGGAGAAAGACAAACCATCATGTCACTTTTACATGGCAGTTGAGATGGTTCACAGTTGTACATAACATCTTATATAATCAAAAGAGGGACTCAAACTAGACAGTGGAGAATAAGGGAATACATCTAAATATGGCAATTATATTAATCCATCAATTCCCTGGGTCCCCAAAAGATTCTCCTCTATTTGCCGTTTCAAAATAGCTAATGAGAGGGATAATTGGACATGAAGACACTGAATTTCTACAGCTCATGGTTTCCTTCCCTGGGCTCCCAGTCACCTGGAGGGCCCTGGATTACCTCAAATGTCATATCGGATTCATTGCATTACACATTGCCTCCTTCTGCCACTGCACTCCAGCCTGGGAGACAGAACAAGGTCTTTGGGGACAGAAACTGTGGTTTATGGTCATTTGTATCCCCAGAGATTTAGAGTGCCTGATACAGAGTGGGGATAGATGATTTTATCATCATCATCATCATCATCATCATCACTGTACCTAGAGGTTACTTCCCATTTCTTTTATTTAACAATAACCTATTATATACTATGCATTTTTAATACACTTCACAAATATTGTCCTCATTTTATCCCTATAAAGTGAATACTATTATTGGCTCCATTTTACAGATAAGACATGGAGTCATGAAAAGGCTAAGTACCTCACACAAGATCACACAGCCAGTGACAGAACTAGGGTTTGGCTGGACTCTTAAAGACTCTCATTTGTCATTCAGAGGCACACTGTGCTCCATAGCACTAATATGACCTTGCTGAAGGCAACTGTCATATTACTATGATAGGTTTCTCTGTTGCCCTTAAGACCCAAAGCTTCTGGAGATCAGAAACTATATTGTTTATTTGCAAAATCATGGGCTTAGGAGCCAGAGAGATCTCGATCTAAGTCCTGGCTCATCTGCCTCTTCATTGTGGGATTAGTAGACTGACTTTCCCCTTGCTTAGCCATACAGTTTCAATAGAATTCAACCCATTCTCAGCTACAACCATGGGTCTTGTTTGCTTTAAGCCAATCATCAGTGCCCAATTTTCTGGACTTTGATTGATTTTAAGGTGAACATATGAACGCTTTGGACCAATGAGGCTCAGGTAATATTTTGTGAGGGTTTCTGGAATAGAAAATCACATTTCTCTTCTGACAGAACTACCAGGCAAGCTGTAATCACTGATGGTGAAAGATAAAGATCATTATATTAAGAACTGTTGGCTGTCATACTGCCAATGTGAGGTGAGCTAGCCTCAGAAAGACGATGCTACCTTGAAAGGCAGGGCAGACATATGGAAAGAAACTGACTTCGTGGTGACACTGATGAGCTATTTTGTTGATCAGCTGAATCCCAATCTACTTGTTTTTTTCAGCTCTGTAAGCCAACAAATTTCCTGAGTGTTTTAGCCTGTGTCAGTTTTTTTTTCCACTGTTTGTTAATGAGAGGTTTCTAACATATACAGTTCTAGACATATTATATACAAATCTGAATCTTTGGCCAGGCACAGTGGCTCACACCTATAATCTCAGCACTTTCGGAGGCTGAGGTGGGCAGATCACCTGAGGTTGGGAGTTGGAGACAGCCTGGCCAACATGGGGAAACCCTGTCTCTACTAAAAATACAAAAATTAGCCAGGCATGGTGAGACACATCTGTAATCCCAGCTACTTGGAAGCCTGAGGCAGGAAAATCACTTAAACCGGGGAGGCAGAGGTTGCAGTGAGCCGAGATTCTGCCACTGCACTCAAGTCTGGGAGACAGAACAAGACTCTGTCTCAAAAAAACAAAGTCTGAATATTTGAACGTTATCATATAGCTTTTTATTTTTTTTTCCCATTTATTTATTTTATTGCATTTTAGGTTTTGGGGTACATGTGAAGAACATGCAAAATTGTTGCACAGGTACACACATAGCAGTGTGATTTGCTGCCTTCCTCCCCATCACCTATATCTGGCATTTCTCCCCTTGCTATCTCTCCCCAGCTCCCCACCCCCCACCGTCCCTCCCCTATTTCCCCCCAACTGGCCCCAGGGTGTAGAGCTCCCCTCCCTGTGTCCATGTGTTCTCATTGTTCAACACCCGCCTATGAGTGAGAACATGCGGTGTTTGATCTTCTGCTCTTCTGTCAGTTTGCTGAGAATGATGGTCTCCAGTTTCATCCATGTCCCTACAAAGGACCCAAACTCATCGTTTTTGATGGCTGCATAATATTCCATGGTGTATATGTGCCACATTTTCCCTATCCAGTCTATCATCGATGGGCATTTGGGTTGGTTCCAGGTCTTTGCCATTGTAAACAGTGCTGCAATGAACATTTGTGTGCACGTGTCCTTATAGTAGAACGATTTGTAATCCTTTGGATATATACCCAGTAATGGGA